TCCACCACGGTGGCTTCCACCACGGCGGCTTTCACCACGGTGGCTTTGATGACTTCCACCATCATGGCTTCCACCATGATCACCCAGCCTCCAGCCCCGAGATGACCTCTAGGTTGCGCGGATCTCAGCTCATCACTTGCGCGACCAAGTGCAAGGAGGACAAAGAAACTTGGCTGACGTTTGCTTTGCTCTCAGGGCTTTACAACTGGTAATTTTCTTACTTTTTATAACGAAAGTGTAACTTTTAGGAGTGGTCCTGAAGCAAAGGAATGCTGGGAAAAATGCTCAGTCTTTTGGAAGGGCCTGCGAAAGGACTGCACCGAAATGGTCGAGATCATGGGCTGCCATAAGCAGTGCCACCATGACAACGCCTGCCATCGCGACTGTCCTCGTCCCAAAATGCTATGGCTGAAAGAGAAAGTGGAGGCATCTATGGCTTGCCACCATGAACCAGGTGGCAATTTGGAATGACTTTTAATTTCCCTCCTGGTTTAATGAGGTACATTTTTAGGAGCCTTAGACTGCCATCTAGTGAATCTAGATCATCAAAGCATGCCTTGCATGATGAAGTCCTTTTCTAAGCCTAATAGGAGAGGTTCCTGTTCCGCATCATCTTGAGAACATCCCAGGAGTGTGGCGCTAACCGCGACTGCCACCACAAGTGCCAATGCCCCTTTGCCGAGATGAAGGAGAAGCGGCAATTTCTCAATATTATCCGTTAATAGTCCTTTAAAGGGCCCCTTATAATCCTCATAAAGGCTTTTTTCCCCAAAGGGTCCCTAGGCGCCCCCTTTTTGAGAAACCCCCTAAACCCTAAACCACACACCCTAAAAGGGCTCCCCCCGCCACCTTTTTTCGAGAAGCTTCCGCATGAAGGAGAAGTGTGAAACGCTGGGCGCGGAAGTGGGGAGCCGGAAGGCCGGCTTCGAGCCGCAAAAGGTTTAGGGTTTGGGGTGTAGGGTTTAGGGTTTAGGGGATCTAAAAGGAGAATATTCCTTTTATTCTTTGTATATAAATCCCCAAGAAACTCAGCTGGATCTCCTTTTCAGGTTCAATCAGGGGTCTGGGTCGCTGGCTAGCACTTCTGGACTGCGTGGTGGCCTATAGATTTCTGATTGTGTGCCGTGCCCTAAACCCTGAACCCTGAATCCTTAACCCTGAACCCTAAACTAAGCAAAGCACAGGGCGGTGTGGAGCCTGTTTGGGATGGGAGGGGCTAGGGCCATGCCAGTTCTTGTAGCATGCTTGGTACAACCCCTTGGGCGCTCGACAAAAGTAACTCCTCACAAACTTTCGTGTTTAGTTTAGGGTTTGCGTTTGGGGTTTAGGGTTAGGCACGTAGCTTGCTCCAGAGGTTAGTACTTGAAGTTCGAGCGCCAATGACAAGTGCAAGGTGGGGTATCTATCATGTAGCGTGACTAACGGAGGCTGCCTGGGTGCAAGCATGCGATAATCTGCACTGCATGCCACAGAACTGTATGTCAGTCATGCCTTATAAACCCCATGTGCATTCCAATTATTTGCCGTGGAGATTTGGCGTTGCGGAGCTCCCACGTCAGGTAAAGAATGTCGACTCCAAGCCGATGGCGGTCACAGTGTAAGACAGCGGAGATTTTCCAGGGTGCATCGCAGCTATGTACGGGCAACGCTACAGCATGCATCATGATAGTCAGTCTTTCTCAGAAGAGCTAAAAACACACCGTCAACAGACCCCCCAATATACCCTTCCTATACCCGAAGAAAAGTTGAAAACTAACCCAATACACTCCCAAAATGCACCAACCAATGTACTCCTAATATACATAATGTGGGGCCATGCCCATGGATGTTCTGTCCTAACTGCATAGCTGTATTGCGCTGCTTTTATGCCCCCGCGTGAGGGAAGAGTGATGGTTGACAGAACTGTGGCAGTGCCATGTACAGCGGCCAGCCGCGCCGCTGCATAGCAGCGCTGCGTGGTACTCTTTTTGGACCTCTTGGCACTGCTACTTTGTAGATAGGTACCGTGAATCTCAGTTCTTGAGGCTCAGCTTCACTGTTTAGATCACAGTGACACCCCTGCTACCACTGGTGTCAAAAGGGCAATGCCATGAGGCCATGCTGTGTTGATCCTCAGCATGAGCTGCTCCCCCCAAGCCTTGCCTGTCTCCTGCTTAGATGTTTAGATGTAGAACACTGCCTTGCTGCAGGCAGTGCCGCACCTGTGTGCCCAACCGGTGGGGCTTCGGAGGCAGGATGCGATAGCAGCGATCCCTTTGGCATCTAGCAGTGTTGTCTACAAAGCAGAACTTTGCAGAACCATCCACCAAGATCAGTCTGCAGCTACAAGTTGTTGTCATGGCACAGGCTTCAACGTCTGCACGGCTTGCTACAGGACAGCAGAGCTTTTGAGCCTGCGTGCTAGATGTAGCAACATGCAATGACCTGCTGTCAGGTCGCTGAAGTTCTCACGAATTTCCGAAAGTGGCAAACCGGAGTTTGTTCTGGTTTATCCTCTTCTTTTGCGCGCATTCGTACCCAAACCCCTCCATTATTCCCCTGATCACAGTCATTGCCGTCATTCAGAATTATTTGGCAGGTACCTTTCTAAGTTTGGTGTTAGCCAGTCGCATTTCACGAAATCACTTAATGTTGTCGACACCAGGAAGAATGCTGTGAAGTCGGGCGCTGCCGGGGAGGCATCAGGAGCCGGCAGTCAGAGCCAGGTTCATGCTGATGTGGGACTTTCTCGGAACAAGGCGCCCTGAAAAACCCGAGGGATACGCACGGGCTGACAATATGTGTGGCGCGCTCCCTGTTGAGGACTGTGTGGACATTGTTTAGAGGAACTCCCATGGCTGTATCTTTTATAGTAAGCAACTTGTCCCTAAGCAACTTGTCCTAAGAATGGCCAAGGTAATGGCAGGAATAGCATGAAGATGAGCAACAAGTCTAGCAGCCATCACACAAAGACAATTATTACCTCTTATTACCTATGATCTTCATAGCAGTTGCGGCTTCTGGACTCTCATGGTTACCTGTGGGTTCTCGCATCAACCTTCTAGCGGTCATTCTCAAAAAGAATAGTGTCCTGCAAGGGGCGTTTGAAAGGATCAGAAGTCCCCTTGTCAAGCATTAGGTGCCGCGCGACTTCTCTGGATTCGATGGTCCCAGATTTGCCGAAAAGATGTTTGCAGGAGCTGGAATTCTTCGCGGTGACAAGGGGCCAAAGTACGCCCAGCCAATGACTGTGTCAACCGGAAGCATTCAGAGCGTGGGTGGCATTCAGTGATTACATGCCGGGATAATGCGTCGTATAGATGGCTCGGGAGTCTGTCAAAATCATGGGTCTAAGGTGGACGCCCGGCAGCTTCTGCCCTGCAAAGTCAGAGTAACAGGTACTTTGCAGGAAAAGCTAATAAAAATACAGCTGCTTGTTTCCGAGAATCCCTTCTGAAGTCGGGAGGTCGGGGAGAAGCTTAGCTCAATATTCTCTTTCTTTCTATTCATGCGCTTTGGACCCTCAGGTGGTCCATGTAGGTGAAGGCTGCTAGCATCACAGACGCTATTTCACAGCCGCAACTTCAATCTGAATGCAAGATCAGATTTTTCATCAGATCCATCTAAAGAGCTCCAGCTTTGAGCACTCAGCAGCGTTTGGACTGCAGATGGCATCTTGGAACTTGGAACCTATAGCTTCCGCGCTGAAGGGACAAAGCTCACAACTTGGGAGCTCCAAGTCAGGATTTGAAGCCCTAAACCCTAGAGTTCGACCCTAACTTCAAGTTTTTTGAAGCTCTGAAGTTACTTGGAGCTTCCGGAGCTTCCAGGATGCAGTACATGCGGCGATTGTCGGGCCTGGTGAGAGCCCCTCGGCTTGCATCGCAGAGCTGCTTTCCTTCCAGGTTTTGCTATGGTTCAGGGTTGGTACATGATCAGGCTGTTTCAAAGAGCAGGTGCCTCAGCCAGTTCAGTAGAATCCCCCATCGTTCTATGTTTTGGAGTGTCTGTGCTCGGGTCTCTGGTCCAGTCTCATAGCTGTTGCAAGAGTTGAGCTTGGCTTCCCATCTCAACCAGCTACAGCCTAATTCCAAAACCCAAGCCGCACCTGGAGGGTTGGGCGGGCTCGTCGAGTAGCCCAATAATGTCGATGAGATTGTGTCTTCAGGGAGTAGTCAGTATACTTACAAAGACATTCTAAATCCCGCCGACCTTCCACGCACAGTCCTGGCCTTGCCAAGTCGAGCACTCTGGCCGTGGTTCTGGTGTGTGTCTGCGGCAGCCAGTTTTTCAGCGCCTACATCCCCAAGGCAGGTTGGGACAAGCGCGGCAATCATAATCTGCAGATAGAAGATGGTTTGGAGATGATGTTACGCATGGACTTTTATTCTTGCAGCAAGCCCCTTTGTTATGTACCAGTTGCTAGTAGCAGCACACGAAGTAGGGGTAAAGGTAGCCTTATCACATGGAACTTTGGAGCGGGAGTAATTTAATCACAGGGACTTATGACCGTGAAGCATACGCACCGACGGGAAATCACCTCCCCTAAAACTTGTCACCCATGGTGGTGCTGATGGGCTTGCCAAAAAGCTGCCGAGAAACTTGAGCCCAAAATCAAATGATGTGAGACCTCGGGTTGGGGGTAGTGACTGTTGATGGAAGAATTCCTGGACCCCCTTAAATACCTGGAACCCCTAGGAATTGAAGTCGCTGCGGGGCCTGAGATGTTGCAAGACTTCTTCAATCAACAGTAGCATCTATGGACTTTGACACATTCGCATACATCCTGCTTTCCGATAACCGTGGCCTTTGGGAGGCACAGGGTGACACCATCAGCGCTCTGACCAAATACTCCGATGCACCCTGGCTGATACTTGTTGCTGATACATCGATACAAGATTTTGCTCGCAGTGACATGGCAAAAACCACTAAGGAAATCTGAGCGAGACCCTTGACCACTGTTATGACAAACAGCGAAAAGTCGAACTTGAATGGAAATGTCAAATCCAAGGACATTGCATCATCTAGGTTTGTCAGGATGCCCCAAGTGGTGCGAGATTTCTTCTATCAACCGTCAAGGGGGTGGGTCTGGCACCTCAGGAAAACACTTCCACAGGAGCTGCATTGCCTCCTAAACAGAGCAATAGGCAGGCCAGACTTGACTTGTGTGTGAATCCTGAAGTGCAAGCTCTTGAAGCCCAGCAGTCAGCAAGTTGTGCTGCTGAGGTGTGCACTTGCCAAGCTATCAGGAACCGTCTAGATCTGTCCAAGGTCGCACCTAATCCTGTACATGAACTTGACTCTTGTGATTTTTTTGGAGACTCCTTTCAAGCACAAGCTGCTGTAAGAAGAAGAAAGCATTGAGCATGAAGATTTTTAGCGGGGTCGCTGTCGCACAAGCCCACGCACCAGACACGAGCAGCCTGAGCCTGTGGAAGCTCCCAAGTGAATAGCCGATGACGACAACGTAGCAATGCAGCAACAAGCGACAGAAGCTCATGCCGTTTGCTGTAATGTTGGGTGACAACACTGTGCCATATGAGCCAAGGCCAAGGCCATCTGGCTGAATGTGAAGTTGTTGCAATGCGCATTGAACCAGTAAAGTTCTCAGCGCTCGGTGGGAGAACTGCAGCCCTGCGCTGTACACGTCATAAGTGTAGATCGAACATTGATGCGCGTGCTTCCAAATCGAGGCTCTCTACACGTCCAAAAGCGATTGAAGCCTCACCACCAGGCTGCCACAAGATTTGCTTGCATAAATGTGTTTTGCGGATGCTGAGGAGGAGTTCAATGAGCGCATCCTTGAATTCGCTTTGCTGGTGGTTGCCAATGGTTTCATGTCCTGTGCGATGAGTATTGCCATCCAGTTGCTTGTCTGAAACCACAATTTTTCTGACCTTGGCTTCAATTGCGGTTCTCAGACCTCGGGGTCTCAGTGTCATTGTTGTCACTTTCGTTCTGGTGGCCAAGGGTTTCTTCCTCACTGGTTTACTACCTGCGCATATAAATCAACAGCCTTCAGCTTACTTCATATTGTAGTTGCTACCATGCGTGCCGGCAGGGTCGCACCTTCAGTGTCTGCCATTCTGTTTTGGAAGCCCGTAGACGCTAAACATTGCCGCTGTATGCAGTTCAGGAGCCTCCAAACACGAATGTCGGCCAACATGTCGGTGGCCCTCTTCGGGGCATTGTTGAAGCAGGAGCGTAGACCTTCAATAGTGCCTACCTGGAAGTGGACATGGCTTGTATTGTTTGCTATGGAATTGAGTCCCTCCTAGGTTCCATACTGGGTTGTACATGAGCTGCCGTTCCACTATTGTTTACGATGCAATCTCAGGATGACTGCAAACATTATTGTGACTCATCTTCTTGAGAGCGCGCAAGTCAGAGCCGGTAGGGTCAGGCCTGGGTAGAGTCGGCCACCGCACGCCAGCGGCTCTGGATAAATATCGCTGTGAGTTCATGAAGGTTTAGCACAGACATATGAGGGAGCTCATTGTAGGGGCTGGTTGTTGTGCACATGGCCTGTCTCGGAGCAGGACATTGCCTTCTACGACAACGTTCCTCAGATGCAACATGCAGCACCTGAGCATCTTTTTGCATCTCTCTCGAAAAAAGCCGGAGCCCTGCATATCCTCCCCCCTAGTGACGACCTCAACAAAGTGAGCCGCATTTTTTGCAAGTCGCTGCATGCGGACCTGAAGTGCAACACACCGTGACAGGACGGAAGGCAGCTGGGTCCCCGGCATAAACCCTAAACCCAGAAGCCTAAAGCCTGAACACAACCCCCAAATAGTGTTGATACTAGAAATCCTGCATGACCTTAGTGTACTATAGTACCGTACATCCCAAGGTTTAAAGTGCTTAGGGTCATGCAGGATTTTTCGTCTCCACCTTGGGCGTCAGGAGCTTTGGGTCTAGGATTTACGGGATCGGTGGCAGCTGAGGCCATGACGGGCCAGATGAACTCACGCCTGAACAATGATTTGCGGCAAGCGCTGTCGCCAGCAACTGTGAAGCAAGTGAACAGTAATGGAGGAGCCTCATATAAGTACTACACAACGGCTTCGGGGTAGATAAACTTTGAAATGCATCAGGATGATGCCGGAAGACAGCTTGATTCTTCAGGCCTTTAGAGCAGCCATTCGGGATGGCAAGCCGGTGTGGAGCGGACATGAGTTGAAAGTTTCAAGCTGTGATGGCGTAATAGCTGCACAGCCTTGCCGTGCCTGGCAGTGAATACTCAGCTTGGGGAGGCAGTCGAGAATTTGCCACTGTTTCCCCTTTACTATCCTCACGTGTTTACTTGTAGGCTTTATAAGCCCCCAAGCCGTGTTGAAGTCATTTGCCATTGGTCTCGCATGACCTGGCGCGCATCCACACAACACGCATTTCTCTTCCTTGCTGCTTTGTAAAGTCATGGTGTGGAGTTTGTAGCAGTGGTACTTCCCACGTCTGCTTACTATGGTCAGCCGACGTGGCCCTGAAACATACAGGCTTGAGCCTCACGGCTTGTTCTTGAGTTTTTGCTTGGACGCCCACATCGTCGTGAGACCCTCTCCCGACTCCTTGCACAGAACCTGGACTAGAATGCCTGACTGATTTTGCCTTGCTGTCATGCTCTGGCCTCGTCAAGGTAAGCATCATCATGAATGCTTTCGTGGCCAACATAGCCGCTTGGATTCAGGGCGTGGACCATCTCATAGATCTACTACTGCATTCACTAAAGTGCCAGTCCCACAAGCTCTAAATCCAAAGCCCTAGTCTCTGCACCCTAAACCCAAGGTGATGCTGATTGTTGGTTTCGGTATCTGCCTCCAAGCGTCTTGGAGACTCACAGTCCTCGCTTTCACGGTGCTCACTCCTGTGGTCTGCTTCTCAGATTCCATGTGATCAGTTGTGGGTTTCCTTTGCGAATTGCAGCGGCCTCAGACTTTCGTTGCTAGTCTGGTCTTGTGTAGTACAGGCTCTCAAGGCATTGGGGTCGTATCGGTCATCCTCATCTTCCAGGCCCCTGCAGACCCCATAATTCTTCACCCAAATCCCTAAGCCTGGAACCTTAAATCCCCAAACCCTGAACCCTATGAAAGATGAATCTAAAGCCTGATCTCTGAACGGGAATTTCGCAAAACAGCCTGCGTGGATCCCCCCTACAATTCATGCATAATCCCGTGGGCCTTAAGGGTTCTTAGAGGTACCCTTATCTGAAGAGCCCCCCAAAACTGGCCCAACAGCCAGAACCGAGGTGCACATCTCTGCGGAGTTCAGCACCTGGGCCTCCAAGCTGATGATGTCTCAGCCTCTTGGCCAGGAACTCCCATACGGTGCTTAGGTGTGGGGCAGAAAGGGGCACGATGGTTTTGCCGTTTTGATTTGTGCGGGCTTGGGTGGGGGCATGAACTCAGAGTTTAGGGTCTTGGGATTTGGGGAGGGAAGCGAGGGGGATGATAGGGGTCATGCTCGGACATTATATCGAGTTCTGCCATAGGCATCATTCCCTCATTGTTTGTTTAAGCGAAACAGAATAAAAGGTCTGGATGTATTTGCATTTCTCGGGGTGTGTGTAGCTTATGCTCCTACAGATATGGCACTAGTGTAGCAGAAGCCTGATTTTTTCATTGTAGTTACACAAAAACCAGAACCCCGCTAGCAACAAAAATCAGGCCGCTACTACAGGCGAAGCATGGCTTGTTCATCACTCCTTCACAGTCTCCATAAAACCCCTGATAGGGATTCCCAACAATCCGTATCTTTGTCTTTCAGACTTTCAATTTCTGGCAGCTGAAGGTGGACCTACCTGGCTGATGCATCCGGCGCCGCCACACAGGCTCTCACCAACATCCGCACGGTCCGAATGTTGCTGGGCCTAGCAGCAGGCGTTGCAGAGGAAAATCTGTTTGCGTAAGGTCTAGTGCAGAGAAAGCGAATGCAAGGAGTTGTGCTTCTTTGCGCTGGTTTGTGAGCTTGAGTGCCGTTACATTTAACTGGACCCCTCCGATATGAAGTGATCTACAGCGGCGCAAGTGCTTGCGGTGCCCTACAAGACATCAGACGAACAGTCAGCGGGCAGCTGAGATGCTTCGCTTACATTGGTGGTTTGGGCTAAGGTCATAATGATGAAAGCTTTAACATGGGGCAGCACTACCATCATATTCATGACAATTACCATGGATCGATAGTAAGAAGCAGCGTGAGCTTCACGCGCCAGCGGCAACATCGAAAGCACCATTTTGCTGCCAACCTTCCAACCATGCAAACAGGCATGTTGAGCCTTATGCTTGATGCGAGTTGCTGTACATGGCCTTCCAGAAGCAAAATCAAGAGTGGACACTTGTCATCCCATAAGTGGCTTCCAAGAAAGTAATTAGTCAGAATGCAGGAAGATGCGAAAGCTGAAGTCAGTAGAATTAGCACCGTATTACATTTGTTGGGTACTGTAACGGCCTTTAGATATAGCTTGAATACCCAAAAATCGCCAAGAGAGACAGGTTGAGTTATCCAGCCCCCACCCCCCGGAAGTCAGCATCACGGTAAGGTTCGGAGCACGGACCATCGAAATGGAGAAGTATGTGCCTTGGCCTGGAACAAGCTACTTCCTGCTAATTACTCCATGATGTTTCCTGAGGCAGAAGATCTTGCATGTGTTCTGTAGTATCATGACAACAGGAGTAGTGTAGTCTGTAGAAATGCCACCTTGGCCAAGGAGGGGCACATTCGCAAGTCGATGGATGTAGGCCCGGTGAGAAGCTGCGTACGAGATTTGCAAGCAGAAGGGGCTGAGATATTGGCACCCCAGCCCTGCTGATTCTTGTTGCTTACCTATTGAAGAGCCAAGTTGTGCGCCTCTGATCGCGGCCCCTTCCACTTCCACAGCAGACTGAGCAACCTAACTTCCCAGCATGCGGTATGTTCAGAACCGATCCTGTCGTACTTTGCCTTGGACCTACTCCGCTTTCCCTACAGTTCTGTTTTTCGAGGGAGTTCCGTGGGCTTCAAAGATATGACAGCTGATAGCACAGAGTTGCCAAACAACTCAATTTCAATGCCTTCTCAACCTCCAAGAGCAACCTGAGAATTTGTGAATTTGTTCACAGTTACAAAACAGAAAAGCTTGCTGGACCACTGGGACCTTACTTTCCTGAAACTTTAACGCCATCATCTGCGTCTACTGAGATAGCTGGTGCGAAGTTTCACATGGTGCCAAAAAAGGAAAGACGGGCTTGTCAAAATTGGGTGCCGCTATCTTATATGGGTTTTCTGCTTGCGTGGGTCATTTCCAAGACTGCACCTTCATTTTGGTACTGAGGGCTTGGTGATACTGTGGGTCGTAGTCTTTATCTGGCGTCCCGCATAGATCCCAACAGTCACTATGCGCAGGTTCGTCTCCGCTGCATCCAGAGTGGTGCTGCGTACACGTTCTGCAAAGCCATCTGCAGCCATACAAGCCCTGGTAAGCTCCTAAGCAAACTGCAATCCACTTGCTAAGCCCCTAAAGTTCCTAAAGACCGTACACAAACACCAAAAAACTCCCTGAGCTCATATTTCTGGGAGGTTTACGGTCCGCCTGGGGTCAGGGTGCAGCTGGACTCCTCTCGGCACTGGTGCAGCAGGGGGCTTCCTTCATCATCCTGCTCCTTGCAGATTTTAGGGTTTAGGCTTTGGACTTTCTGGTTTCGGGTTATTTCGGGATGGGGGTTTGCGGTTTCAGGCAAAAGGAGGGTGGGAGATGGGGTAGTAACCATGGAGGGAACCTTGCATAAGCCTTAGACATTTACCCTGTTCCTTGAGTTGTTGTCAGGTTGGAGCCTAAAGTATCTTACAGTTCTCGCTATGGATATCATCAGAGTTTAGTAGATATCTTCTTTTGTCAACACCAATCTAAGAAACATTCGCCGCAACCCAGGGGCTGATGAAGTTAAGGGGTACTCGTGCTTTCCTTCATGGGTATGTGTGTGTGGGTAGGTCGGTGGGGGTGTGGGTAGGTCGGTGGGGGGGGGGGGGGGGGNNTAGACTTATCTCCTCATGTATAAGAACATTTGCTTAAAAGGAGGGTTTAGAGAAAGTAGTGCTTCGAATAGGTTTAGGATCAAATTGAAGGCTACATAAGGGCCAGATGAGGGCTAGAAACGGTTCAGATAACGGCTAGATAAGGGCCAGATACGGGATAGATAAGGGCCAGATAAGGGCGAGATAGGGGCCAGATAAGGGCTAGATAAATGTACTGATAAGCTTGAAATGGCTATCTTGCAATTACAAATCCTTATCCCCTCCTTATCTTGACATCTCCTGATAGACTTGAAATAGTTATCTTGCCAATTGAAGACCTCTATCCCCCCCCCGCCCAGACCTACCCCCACACAACCACGATTCCTTTTGAGAACCCTTTAAGGTCAAGGGGCAGGGGCTTGGGGTAGCTGAATACTTCTTACTACAGGTATACTCTTCGGGGGTTGCCTCGGGCTGATGATTTGGGCTTGACAGACCTGAAGCTTTGTTGGAGCTTTCTTCGTCCATTTGATCCGTGAACTGCCTGGGACGTCTGCAATCGTTAGGTGCTCCTCGTCCTCCTCATCCTCCTAGTACTAGTGGCAGTTGCAATTGCTGTAGTTGTGATCTGTTAGTCGTAGTAGTGGTGTAGTGGTGGTAGTAGTAGTAGCAGTAGCAGCACCAGTAGTAATCATTCTCGGAAGGCTGTAGTCTCGAAGATGCAATGCCTCCATAGCATTGTCCCCGAGACTGTGGAGAGGTAAGCAAGGCTCATTCAGAAGCCTGCAGGTACTATGGTGGACATCTGGCGCTTAAGCACGAGTTCGAGGTGGGATCTTGGCAAGTTTTGCTCACCAACAACCTGGCATGGAACGCACCAATCTGGGACTCGATCAACAGGACAGTAGTCTAGTTTGGGTTCCACGTTGGGTTTGGAGAGGGCTGAACTCGCTTCGGCAATTAATCCCTTCCCCTAAGAATATCCCCCCAAACCCCAAAGATAAATCTTCTCAGCACATTACAACACTGTTGGGATTTGAGGTGTTTGTTGTTTCAGAATTTAGGCAGGTTCAGGGGGGTTGTAGGTTTAGGGTTCGAACCGCCCAAACTTTGGGGTCCTCCGCCTGTGCTCGGGGCAGCAAGGTTATAGCCAGAGCACCTTTGACGTAGACCGAAGTGGAGGGAATTTCTTCGTAGGATTAATATATTGGGATTTAGGGGTTCAGGATTTGGGGTTGTGGCCGAGGGTTTCGAGCTTCAGGGTATTGTGCTAGCAAGACATGGCGGGGGATTTTGCCTTTGGATCGACGCATTAATTTGAATTGAAGGTGGAGGGGCCCAACAATCCACATAAACGTAAGGATCCCCAGATAGGGTCAGAAAGAACACCTAAGTTTAATTCCCCAGACTGGGTTCTATGGAATTCCTAGACCTTGGTCCTTAAACCCTACACCCTGAGTACTAGATTCTCATTCCTGGAGCTTAAGCACTCATCCCTACAGCCCTGGATCCTTGACTAAATCCCAATCCCCTCATGGAGGTCGGGTCCATCATCACCTTCACCTATCTCTGGAATCGGCTTCTAGGTTGCAAGCTAGCAGTCTGCAACAGGTAAACATGCAAAAACCTGCGAACCGCCATTAGTATAGAGGCAGGAAATGAAAGAATGGAACAAGAACACGGAAACTGATCTATTTCTGGGCCGTGTATAGGGGGCTACTATAGGAATCCATTTCCTCCTGTGCTTAACAGGCCAACCCAAAACCCTAATCAAAACCCGAATCCCTGACCTGTTTATGGAAATCCCCATAAAAAGGATTAGAGAATGACACATTAGGAATCATTAGGGTCTACATTGGGGCTGCGCATTCATGGAAACCCCTACGTCGCCATGTATGCCTATCGTTTCCATGCAGCATGAGTTAAACGTGGAGCTACAACATAATAGCAACTCCCTTCCAAAATCAAGGCATCTGACCCCCCGTCCAATGCAGTAGAAGCCTGAATAGTTGCCAATAGTCTTCCCATAGAATCCTCACATACTCATGTGAAAACACACACCGGAAACCAATGATAGTTAGATAGGTCCATACACGAGACTTGAAACTCAGGCTCAGTGGTGCGTTCACTTCCCTCAATGAGAACATCAATCAGCCAGTGAAGGCTGTTAGCGGCTTGTCTAGGCATGATGAGGAGGATCTAGGTTTGCAGGGCGCGGTGCGGTGGACTTGTGGCTATGGGTTTGTGCTACGGGCTTTCATGACGGAAGGCAGTCTTGCCAGTCAGCGGCGCGGTTAGGAAGATCTCTCTCCCAAGAGGGATTATCTTTTTAGAGCCCGTCTATCTCTCTATAGCTTATCGAAAGTAAGTTGAAGAAACCCCGAGCATTCCTTACTCATTTTCACATGTCCGCAAGGGCGCCCTACAGACTCCACAAATAAGTAGTTCTAGCCCTGAAACATGAGAGTACAACTTCGAATGCGGATGCTGGATTGTTCCATCTAATAGTTAGATTCTGTTTCTGGCCGTGGTATCGGTTAGTCTTGTTCAGATTAACCGCCAAAAACATTGCTCATGGACGCAAGTAAATGCTAGACCCTGTGGCCGAGGTGCTGGGCAGCGAGTGTTCGAAATCCTGGACTTGCAGCCAGACATCCCGGAGGATTCTAAACCCTCAGCTCGAATCCTACACTTTCAACTCAAAACCCTATCAGCAAACCCTGAATGCGCAACCCGAACCTAAGCCGAAACGCAACGATTTCACTCTTTGCAGCTTTGACTGCTTGCTCTGGGTTGGGCGGCAAAGTCTTTTACTTTCCCAAAACTTCATAGGCACTCCCACGTAGACCCCCTTCAAAAAGACCCGAGTCTTTGTTGGGCTTCTTCTTGGCCTCCATACAAGCTTGCCTAAACCCTGAGCCCTTAAGCGTAGGGATTTGACACAGAAGGGTGTATAGGCCGCGCCTCTCCCATGAGTAATTGCTGGTTGCTAGCACGGAAGGGAAGGATAGACGAGAAAATGCCAGCTCAAATAGTATTGGGGGGTATATACATTCCCTACAAACAGCCAGCAAGAAAATCACTGTCTCAAGCAGCATTCCCCGAAACTGGGACCCTTCATGTCAGGATTCTTACACCTGTACTTGAATGTCCCGGCAATCTAGTAGGTAGATAAGTGGACCCAGAACCCGAAGTTGTGCATCAGGTCATGTTCATATAAGGGTAGATTCAACTATTATATCCTTGCTCCTTTTTTTTTGAACCCCTTAACTCCCAACAATTGGCCAGCCCCAAGCAGCGTGAGTCTTGCACAAGGAGGAGGGCGACCCCTTCCCTGAGGAGTCGAAACAGGCCTGCGGCTGCGTGGTGTAGGGTTTAGGGTTGCGAGGCTTCTAAAATGTAATGTCCCTTCAAAGGGATGCTGGAGGGTTTATATGGGGTAATTATCTGATGCGTAGGGAGATATATAGGTATTTGGGTTTACAAGTTTTAAAATTAGGGGGCTCTTTCTGTGGGTTCTGAAAATGCGTATTTTCCGTATTTTGGGATATTTAGAGGGCTCCCCTTATGCCTGGAAACTCCCAGGAGGGGCTTCAATCATTGTGTAGAACAGGATTTTTAAGGTTAAGTTGAATACATAGGGACTACAAAGGGACAACACGTATTCCAAACTTCTCAGGCTTCTACATTCGTGGAATGGCCCATAGGTGGTATATATAGAATGGGGTAGATCGGACCACATTTCGTATGCCTTTCTCTCTTTCAACCCCTCTTTCCTGTATGCTCCTCAAGTAGGCTGGTTCTTTCTGAGGGTGTCGAAATTTCTGTGGTTAGAAACATCATCAAGACCATGCCTAGGCAAGGGAGTGGCTTTCTTCAAGAGAACCCGAGTTTGTTGGCGGTTGTAGACGGTCCCGATCTTGCATAGTCATAGTCGTTGCAGATTAGGTTTAGGGTGTTGATCCTCGTGAGAGTAGAGCTGCAGCGGCCTGCATGAAGGTGGGCATTCGATTTGAGAACGTGGAGTACACATACCTGTCCAGACCCGACAAGAAGGCCTGAGCTGTTTGCAACCCAGCCATGGATGGCTGGCAGTTTCCAACTTCTTTCCACCAGTAGTGGGAAAGGAATGGGAACTACAACGTGATAGAATGTCGGGGCCAAGTACTTATCATCCTTGCGACAGAAAGCGCGAATTCTGTCCAATGTGCACTCATGAATCTGGTAGTGATTAGAACTGTCTTTATCATGTTTGGAGCTCTTGGTACAATGACCAGTGTGGAAATCATCCGGTTGTTATTGCTGGCAGGTTTTGGACGGAGTAACCTTGGACATTCGCGCTGGCAAGACGACGGCTATCGTGGGCAAGAGCGGATGTGGAAAGTCCACACTGAGAGCCTGGACGTCAAGATGGAGAGTGTCCTAAACTAGTACGAGAAAGCTCGCTGTACTCTTGGTTTCTACCAGTCTTCGGGTCACAACACCATGACCTCCCCCAATAGTTCAACAGTACTCTGCTTAAATTCCCATTCATGATTTAAAAGTGGGGATGTCGAGGAGAGTGTGGAGACCTGATGTTAAGTGGCTGAGGTAAAGGAGCAGTGGGTAAGGTCACAAGGCTGCTGCTGTGGACGGGTACCACTTTTTGTTCCTAATTCTGTGTCCTTGTTCATGAGACATCTGAGTCCTAGTGCGGATTACGGACGACTTGCTCTTGGGGGGAACATGAAGAGTCATCAGCATGTCGCACGCAGCATGTTCAGGATGCTAGATTGGTCGTTGTTAAAGCGGCAGACACGCATTTTTTCCCTGCAATTAGGGAATACCCGGCGCCTGACGAGACGTATATACATGCCTGAGACTTGCAGGATTACTGAGATAGGTGACAATTCAGGTGCTCAACCGTTCCTGCACCTGAGAACTGATCTCCCAGCATGAGCCTGCAGCACTTCGAATCCACAATCAAGGCCCTGACTTTGTAAAACCCCGCGAAATACTTGTAGTATTCATGACCATGATGATCAAAAGAGTGATCGTACATAGTATGGTACAGATCGTTAGTAGCAACAATGCGGTGCTCATGATAACGCTGATGATACGAGTTCTGATTGTTAGCGGAATTTCTTCTTCAACGTTAAGGCAAGCTCGTGCTGCGCTTCTACGATCCGCAGGGTGGTGCGCTTCTTGCTTGCAGCGCACAATTATCATGGTTGTGAGGGAATGAGAGATGTTAGGGTTTGGGGCAGTCAAGGGTGTACCTACCATGGAGACCTACAGAATTCTTCGTGGATCATTCCTGGATTCTGTGGACATTATGGATGATGCAGCCTTGCAAGAGGAAGTTTCGGGGATATTATGTAGGATGCTGGAATCCGGAACAGGGTTCTGAAAACCTGGGAAATACCAACTGAATTGTTCTCATGCCTCTAGTATTGCATGCGCTTGCTCAAGCACTGCGGCTGTGTTTCTCTACCATGCCCTCAACATGCCTGTCCCAACCTGGTTAGCTGACTCTCAGAGAGGAAGCACGAGGGCTTGTCAGCGCTGTCCATCGAATGACTCACCTTGCTAGACGCTGGCGTTCGTAGGTCCACGTTTGCTCAGGGTCTTCTTGAACGCTACCGAGCTGCAGTGTATGCATCTTCTGCAGTATCGCAACAAAGTGGGCGTGGTCTCGCAGGACAGGCGCGCTGGTGTGATAGTGGCAAGGTACGCAGATGTTTTCGGAGTTGCTCTGCAGGACACACAACTTTTCCGGATGACCGTCACAGAGAGACGTGAATAAAGTTCAGCATGCCATGGTTTGTAAGCCTCAGATAGGGGATGAAGATCAGTCTTGCAATTGCCAGTGTGGCCAGCATACATGCCCAATGTCAGACTGATAAGCATCATGATTTGCAAGCAGGCAGCATACTGCTTGCTGGTTTTTGATGGTTTTTGTATTTCAGTCGCGAGTCGGCTGGCGTTGCCAGGAGGGCGACTTTTGAGGATGTTCTCTCACAAAATTGTGGCTCGTTTGACGAGTTCTGATTTACAAGGATTCAGCTTTTGCTGCGTAACTCGGACCCATGTGGAAGCTACTTGTAGAATAAGCAGGAAGATCAGCCCCCTTCAGTCACATCGTAGTTCTTACGTAATAACAGTACCTTGTACCCCCAAGCCCTTTTCGACTTATTTGGCGCTTGTTTAGGCGCCTACAGTTGCTTCGCGTGATATATGGGACCCACATCTGATAACACAAGCCTGAGCCTTGAAAGGTATGGGGTTCCCTGTTCCTGGGATACTACTCCTCTCGGATTCCCGTAGAATTGCCTTAGCCCAAGTTAATGGGGAACCTTCGGGGGGGTGCTAGTGGTTAGGACAACCCGTAACAAAACCTCTTGCTGCAAGGGTTGCTTGACCTCAGGAACATCACCTACGGTCTCCGTGCCACGGAGTACACCATGGAGGACCTGCAGCAGAATCTGAGGGAAATTTGAAGGCTTGACTGTCTAGCCAGAAATACACACCGTGATTTCAAAAACTTGCCAAACAGAGACCTACTTACATCTTCCCTAATGTTGAGAATGCTCCTGATCGCAAGATTACAAACATGCTTTCGCTGAATCCTCGCAGACAATATATGATGCCTTTGCCACCAGAAAGTTGGGGATCCTATTTTGTCGTGAGTCGTACTGGTATTGCAAGATCCTACTACTTATCTGGGGAAGACAGTAGCTGATCAACATTCCGGAGTATGTGTACTGCCCCTAAGAAGGAGTCCCTCCAATTTTCAGAGCTGTAATCTCTTCACATGGCAGTGGACCCAAAGCATTGGGCATGACTCAGGTCAATTGAAGCATTTCCGCAAATACCTTAACTCGAGGGTACTGGGAATCTACGGTAGCCTACAGTCTAGAATCTACAGTATCCTACAGTCTACATACAGGAATGGCAGTGATTGCCAGTCAGCAGTTGCACAAATTTTCATGCAGTCCAGAACATGTCTTCTCACCACCCTGAATCCTTAATTCGCAGGATGTGGAGCGAGCAGCGAAGCTCGCAAACGCCGACGAGTTTATTCGGGCATTGCCAGAAGGGCATCTTGCCATGGGCGTTAGCACGTTGATACTACGCGGTGTGGGGTTTAGAGTTTGGGGGTTCGTATTCCTGGGATCACAAGGGTCGTATTTGCAGCCAGCACCAAGAGCATCCAAGTAGGGTTTAAGGAGTTGAAGTCCCCATCAGGGGCGTCCCTCTGACTCATGATCCTCGACTAGTAGACACCTGAACACTTACCAACGCTGTCCCCTCACAATGCTTTTATCGGCTATAGTACGATGTGTAATGTACTCTTCTACTTGCTAAGGCCCTTCTATTAATCAGCTGCTTTCCGTTAGCAGTACTAGCTAGGTACAGCACCATGATCGGCGAGAGTGGACACGACCTGAGCGGCGGTCAGAAGCAGCGGCTCAGCATTGCGCGAGCTCTTGTCCGCAGGCCAGTGCTGGTACTTTTGATTTTGCGGGGGTCTTGAAGTTTATGGCTTAGGGGTCTGGTCTCGGTTTAGGCTTAGTATTTAGAATGTTGGGTTCAGGGTGGTGCTGGTGATTTGAGGTTTGAGAGTTTATCAAACTTACCCCAGATATTTGGAGTAAAGCCCGGAGGGTTCATGGCTAATACCCGTATACCCTATAGTCTCGATTTTTGAGACAATGTTTTGCAAGTTCGGGGGCTTAGCTGGGGGGGAATCTGCAGGCCATGGGCCTGAACTAGCTGAACTAGGGTTCCCAATGCTTGTGCACGGCATTGGGCTTCTCCTTTGGTGGCTTTTGGGATTGCATGCATGGGTTGAATTTAGGTATTGGGGTTTGTGGACACAGTGGCCTTGCGTGCCCTGAACAGAGCTTTCAGTTGATTCCGTTCGAAGTATGTCAGGCCACGGATCCTTCTACTTGATGAGGCAACCTCTGCGTGGCAGCCTCAGCAGGGCTTCCCACCCCCACATAGCATGTCTTTGTAGGGGCCTTTGTCAGGATTTCATGTTATGATGTTACGGTCAGCCGTGCTGACTTGGTAAGCATGTGTGTGGGTAGCTATTGCCCACATAGAATGTACTTGACCAGCCCCAGTTAGACCCTGATCACCCTACAAGCTGGTCTACGTCTACCAAAAATGCGACGCGCAAGCTTGTTATGGAGCCCAGAATGGACAGGCTGGACGCAGAGAACGAAGCCATGGTGCAGGCGTTTGTGGGAGCTATGTATTTTAGGTTTAGGGTTTATAGGTTTCAAGCTGAGGATTTATAGGGTTGCATGTTCATGGCTCAAGGGTTTGGGAGGTTCAAGTTGGAAAACATCCTGGTGTATCCTGATAGTCCATTGCCTTATAGCCCCTTAGTACTAAGTAAATATGGGCGCCATTTATTTGAGTTTTTGCTGGTGCTTCCTCGGGGATCTGCACATGCTGCTTCCGGTATTCGTGGCTGCTCAGCAGCAAACGCTGCAATTTACGGTATTTGTAGCTTTTCAAGAACTCCAAGAGCTGTGCCTTGCAGTATTCGTAGCTTCTCAAGAGCTACAAATGCTGCAGTTGCTAGTATTCGTAGAATTGCAACAGCCGCGAATGCCGTAATTAAGAGGAGGGTTAACGTTTTGAATTCTGTTTGTTTCTTGATGCTTCCTTGACAACTTCTGTAGATTACAGTATGCATGGCTTTTCTAATTTACGGTATTCGTAACCTTTCAAGAACTCCAGATGCCATAATACTCGTAGCCTGTCAAGAGGCCCGCATGTAAGGCCAACGTTGAGAAACAACCAGGCAGGTCAACTTTGGGATTTTTGTTTTTGGCGCTTCCCTAGGAGCTGCAAATTCCGTAATCAATTTACAGTATTCGTGGCTTTTCAACAGCTGCAAAGACTTTCACTAGCAGTCTACGTCGTAGCACTTCAAGAACTCCAACTGCTGTGGGTTACTGTATTCAAGCTACACATGCTGTAGTTGCTAGCATCTGTGGCCTTTCGAAGCCCACGGATGCTGTCATTTACAGTATTCCTAGCCTTTCACGAACTCCAAGTGCTGTAATTTACAATGTGCATAGCTTCTCAAGATCTACAAAAGCTGTAGTTGCTGGTAGTCGTAGACTTTCAAGATCCGCGCATGCTGTAATTTAGGGCCTGGCGGCAGGTGCCGGCCTGGCTGCTGCTCCCCTTGCCCACCCAGCCATCAAGTGAAAGCCAAGCCCACCCCAGCCCTGCTGATACTCTTGATTGAGAGAAGTGCATGAAAAGTTATGTTCTTGTTACTTGGGATGTTCTTTCAGGTTTTGAAGACCTTGTTTTCTCTAGTTTGACTGAAAGCCGCCCAAAATGGGGTCCCAATTGTGCTGATGATGTTCCTGTACGACGCGCGCGCGCGCGCGCCTTATAAAGGAACATCAGCTGCACAATTGGGACCCCATTTTGGCTTGATTGGGACTAGGAGGGGTCAAAATTCCCAAGGAAACCCATCAAAGATGACTTTAGACGTGGTTCTCTGTGCAGGCTGACCATGTTATAGCCCACAAGTGCATTTTTTGGGCAAATCAGCTGCCAATGGCAGCCACATGTCACGCATTGGACAAGCTTAGGAGCCACAAAAGTGCTGGAAATATGAGCGAAACACACCCAAAAACCATGCAACCTGCACATTTACACGGTTTGGCCTGGGCAATGCATGCCAAACCTCTTTCATGCTTGTCATACACTGCAGATCCTACCAGCACTGGGATTTACAGCCACAAACACTGCCAACAGCGCATTTTTGAGCGTTTTGTTGCGATCCAGCATCATGAGCGTCAGGGGGCCTGTTTGGGCCCCCAATTTCCGTCTTGACACCACACATATGAGGCTCTTCCAAAATTCTAGGTTTGTTGAGGGGGCCAAAAGTGACAAACGAAGGCCCAATTGTGCTGATGATGCTGGCCTAAAAACATGCCCACAACCCTCCGTAGCTTGGGGGGAAGCTTCAAAATGCAGCCAAAAATCTTGATTTTTGACCCTCCAAAACATAGTTCCAGCGGTCTGTGCCGCACCCCCAAAAAAGCATTGCTTAGCTAGGCGTGCATCCGCACTGGACCACGACGGCCAGGCCGGACTTAAGAGCCTGTGGCTCAGGCCGCCGACCCAGAGGCGGAGAAATCGTGAAAGCCTAAACCTGAAACCTTGAGGTTTTCAGCGGCTGGCACGAGACCAATGAGCGCAACAAGATTAGTCCAAGCTAGGCTACCGGGATTCAGCAGCTTTGCTGTTTNNGAAATCAATCGGCACAACAAGCCAGCTTGCCGGGACTGTGCAGGACCAACACTGCATTATTGTTGCAGGCGTGTCCAATCCTTGATGAGAGCCTGGCATGGGTGGGCCCCCAGAGGCTGGGACCTGGGCCCCATGCGCCAATCATGCGCGGAGAAGTCGCGAGGGCTAAAGATTAAACCCTAAACCTTGATGTTTCGCTGCAACAAGATTAGTTCAAGCCAGGCTGCCGGGACTTGCTGTTTTCAGTAGTTGCGCAGGAACTCAATCGGCGCAGCAAACCCAGTTGCCGGGACCGTGTCAGGACCAACACTGCATTCCATTTTGTCCAGGCCTTCATGAGCCTAGCTTGGGTTGGCCTCTGATGAGCAGGCTTGGGCAGCCCCCAACCTGACACCCAGGCCTTTGGACCTCCTCCGCTTCCAGCTTTGCTGTTTTCAGTGGCCGTGCAGGAAATCCACAACAAGCCAGGTTGCCGGGATTGTGCATGACGTTTGCAAGGTCGGCAAACCCGATTGGCCCAAGAAATGTTGGGGCCCGCGCCCCACGGGCCTGGGGCCTGGGCCTCCAGGGGTTCGGGCCTCCTCAGGCTGAAACCATCCAACACGCCCCCCAAGGTCGGAGGACTCAAGAATTCCAAATGCTGTAATGCATCCCCAACATTTCCCCCGGTTTTCTTAGACAATTGTAAGCACACTGTTTAGTGGATCCGGTCAAAGTTTGTGCAGGAAGCTACGTGTTCTCATCTTCGTCCACTGTTAATCCGATCCCATGTTCTGATCTTCCGCCGCTATTTTGTAATGCAGGCACATTGTCTAACAAATCCGATCAAAATCGACTGAATGGCACTCTGGCCTGAAGCTTTCTCAGATTGTGACGAATTTGGGATATAATTTGGGAGACCGTAAAATTTAAAGGTCTCTCAGAATAGCCCATGGGCCCGTATATATATATATACACACAGTATACACACATGACATTGGGGACACATGAAATTTTTGGGGTGGTAGGGAAGAGGGTGAAGTGCTAAAGCGATCGGGAGTCACTGGCTTCACTTGAGACAGCTTGAGCACTGGGACCTGAGAGCAGCAGCAGCAGGAGCAGAAAGGAGCAGCAGCGGCAGCAGCGGCAGCAGCAGCGGCAGCAGCAGCGGCCGCAGCACCGCCAGCCCCAGCCCCTGCCCCAGAGGCGTCGGCAGCGGCAGCTCCCATTGTTACCTCAAGTGGGCTTCACATTCCGGAGCGGTGGATGTGCCTTTCCGCTAGCAGAGATTAGGAGCACTAGGCGAAGGTTCAAGATCTTCAGAGATTCCATGCGAAGCAGAGGCAGCATGCAAGAGTGGAGATCCAAATTCGGGTCCCGTTTCTGGCAGGTTCTATGAGTGCAGTCCCTTTGTACCCTATAGCCCTCCTTCCAACCCTACCTAGTCTGTATAAGATCACTTTCTAGGCCTCAAGCCCAAACCCCTGAACCCGTAAATGAAACCGCTGAGCCCTAAGAGCCCTAAACCCTACACCCCAAACCGTGTGAAAGGCGGCCTTGGACTCCTTGATGCACCAGATGCAGGGTACCTGCCGCCCGGCAGAGAAGGTGATCTAGGGATATACGACCGGGGAGCGGCCAGCCTCCACCCACGCACGTTTCCCCCCATTTTGCAGTCGGTCTATCAGTATGTACATTGAACATTTTAGAATCCTTCCCCCCCTGTGCGGTTTGGAAAACCCCATCTGATGGCTCCCCCGAAGTAACAAGGCCTAAAAAGCCACAATAGGCTTAATGCGCCCTAGCCCGCAATAATCCCTTTTACGACCCTCAGTTTGAGATGGCACATAGTTGCCTTAGTAACCCCATGGTACCAGAGGAATGACATGCACATGGAAACCAGGGTAGATTAGGGTGTAAGTCAAGGGCACATGCCACAAAATAACCCCGCTGACCTAGTTGCTACGCCCCCTGACTCTCCAAGTAGTGCCGAGTAGGTTTGAAGGTTGAGGGTTTAGGGTTGTAGGTGGTGTGAGGCCTGGAATTTTACTGTGGACTGAGGTTGTAGGGTTTCGGGCTTAGCTTGGAGGGTTAAGGGTGATAGGTTCAGGGTTTGGGATGATGCAGAGGCCTGAATCATCGTTTCCCCTAAACGTCCCGCTATGGACCTGATGTCGGAAATTCGCCTGAGAAGTACCATTATAAATGGGGGCAATTCATCTTTAGGCCGTTGAGGGCATTATCGTTAACGTTAGGGGGGATGAATGGTAAAGAACATCAATCCTGGCTTTTTGGAAGTGCTCGCTCTTTACTACCGCATAGACAAAACCAGTTCGTCAGGCCTTTGCAGAAAGCCCTTTCTGTAACTGCCAGCTCATGGTTTTCTCCAATCCTCAGGTTGTAAGCAGACTGCTCGAACTACTCTCCGCAAGGCACAATCATGGTCATCGCTCACCGGCTCTCTACCATCAAGGACGCTGACCGCATCATCGTCCTGCATGAAGGCGTCGGCTAATCAGCATGGAGAATGCACGCATGCATCAGCGGCCGCTGTCCCAAGGTCAGGTGGTGGAGCAGGGTACGCATGACGAGCTCCTGCAGATCAAGGATACTGCAGTGCGCTTTTTCTGCCAATAGCATTTACAATCAATGATAACGCTTGCACGCTCATATCTGTAGAAGTGAATGGATTATACAGATAGACATTGGTAAGGACCCCTGTCAGCAACATGGAGGAGTAGATCATTGCATAACTGACTATTCCAGCATGTAGCATGAACGGGGAGCACAAAATCCACTGCAGTCACAGTCATGGCGTTGGTGCTGGTTTTAAGCCTACATACTTCTAGTAAGATTTTGGGCAACAATCAAGTCTAAGTGCCATCCTCCTTGCCATAGTCGAAGTCATCTTATTGATGGTCGATGTGACTGCTGCTTCAGAAGCAGGAATAGGAGGGGAGGGAGTAGAAGTTTGGTTGGAAAGGGTCTGGGAGTAGGAGGAACTGCGGTCGTGGTGATTGTCGTGGTGGAGGTGGTGGCACATATGGTGACTGTTCGTAGTTTTTCCTGGCTTTGTTTGTGTTTTTTGTTGTGTTTTGTAGCTGCGTTGGGTAGTCGCGATGCTGAGGTTGTATTCAGGCTTTGTACTTGGTGCTGAAAGAGCTGACATAGTTTAACACAAACGCCGCACAACCAACAAAACCAAAGCAACAAACCAACCATGCCAAAGGTACGATGTGTCTTGAGCATCTCAAGTTGTGCAAGACTTCCTACATCCTCCGTAGCTTTTCATACAGTACAATCCAAAAGAGCCGTAACTTGGACATGTCTCAACATTGGGGGGTCCCTGTCCTTGTATTGTTCAACATGCAGAACTGCGCGGAGGAAGGCCGCTACGCCACCATGATCGCCAGACAGCTTCAAGGCCAGGTTGAGGGGCAAAGGCTTTGGTGTCAAGAGGTTTTGGGAAATGTCAGCTGGACATTTTTGGCAACATCTTTATGTCAGGGCCTTTCCCACGTTTGTGGCAAGCTCCCTTCTAGGTGGATCAGCTGATGGCGGTGCAGACGGAGAGGAAGGGTCAAAGGAGAAGAAGGCGCGTAAGGGTGTCTCAGGATGATGATTTTTGTTGTTGTTGTCGTTGCAAATTTCTGTCATTTTGTTTTTTCTGTCATTGCCCCGAACCCTTGTCATTTTAGTGTCGATCCCCGTGTCATTGTCCAGAGCCCTTGTCTTTTTGTCGTCGCTGCCTAGTTTTTCCGGACTCCAGGACACCTGCCGGGAATCGCCCTGGCAGGAGTTCCTCCACCAAGAGTCGTTGAAACGTTTTTCCAGCATGTGTAAGTGTCGAACCGCAAGGTGCTTTGAGCTTCAGATCTTGGCAGCTAGAATTGAATAATGGGCTTTCGATTGGAACTTGATGCAGGCAGCTGGCATGCAGCGCGACTTTCACGGCATTGCTTCTGTGAACGTGTAGAACCAGCAAGCATGGTCAACTCTCTAGGAGATGGTTCTGTGTACAACAGTGGCATGAATCGAGCTTGCAACAACCCGAATGCAACAACGCACCACTGCTGAGGAAATATGCCACATGACAGCCAGATGTCTGCCAACCGCCCAATCAAGGGGTTTTACAGTGGAAGGTAGAAGTAAAAGGACAACAGCAGCCCAAGTTTCTTTTAAATTAGTACCCCCATGTGGGAGTTTCGCACAAGCATCTTCACGTAATCCTGCAAAGGCTTGCAGTCCTTTTCAAATCCATTCATGCCCTTAGGGCCCATCGTGTGCTCCTGTTTGGAGAAAAGCTCATGTCAGGTGGAGGATGCGATTGCTGAGATCATGGCCATCGTAGAGAGCGTGAACGAGGACAAGCGCAAGGAAGTTCTCATGGGCATCATGAAAAAGGCCAAGGGTGCAGGCAAAGGCAAAGGGTCTTGACAGAGCTGTCAGTCCCGGATCGCCAAGCCGCGTCAGGGAGCTGCCTATAACAGGGCGCTTCCTGCTGCACTCGGCGGGGGCGGCTGTACAAAGGATGTTCATCTTCCAGGATCCTGCCTACTGTATCCGTTTCCATCTTCTTTTCCAGTATCGTAGAAGAGACACGGAAGCTAAGATGTGATGAAGAAGTTATCATTAGCTTGTCTGTGGCAGGAGTGGAAAGGCAGGCTCATTCGGGGACCTCCCAAAGCCGGGGTCTCTATGATTGTAGAGACCTAGGGGCCCCACTTTCTCACCACTTCGAGCATGACACCAGCATTTCTCGGGAAGACGTGTCCCTCCGGTCTCGGATGTAGGGAACATGCTGCGGTACGACTAGGCAGCAAATACGGACTACTGTGGAGATTCATATCTCCATTGCCTACTAACCACTAGAAAATCAAAGACAAGCCCGAAGGGGAGGACGGTCTTCGAGAAGCTACAAAGGCGTTTGCAGCACAGCCGAAGTATGCTGATCCACGGTCTTGCTTGCGTTTCATTGCGGCTTGGGAGGCTTATCCGAATGCGGAGGCAAGTGAATCTGCGTTGCGAGCTTCTGAAGACGACCTCTGTAGAAGCCTTGATGGGCACCCCTAACATCTCCATATATTGTCCAACATATATCTTCAGGTTGCCTTAGGACCTCGTTTTTGAGCAAACCACGATCGAAGAGACCTTACAGGGCAGGTGCCAGTAGACGTGGCTCAGCATGCTGTCCATTAGCGCTACAGTTCGAGGATTTAGAGAGAGAGTGGGTAAAGTGTTTCAGGTGTTTAGACTTTATGTGTGACGGCCCTGCAAAGGTTTGATGCCCTTTAACTACGTAGAATGCATGCCAAAGCAAGATATGAGTAATCGTCTGACAAAGGTCTTCCCTTCCAACAGCGGCCAAGAGAGACTCCGATCACAGAGGATTGTCGTTATCTTCTCGATTAGGTGCTCAGTCTTCGGGAGAACGTTTTTAGCAGCCTCTTGCAGCACCAAGGTAGCATGTGGTTATGGATCTCCGAGTTCGCAGAGGAAGATCCATCCGCAAAGTCCCTAAGCCCTAAAGCATACCAGCGCATAAGCTCGCATCTCTTGTTTCAGCTCTTGCTTTAGGGACAAGTCTCCCAGGCAACTGCCCTGACGTGGCTTTTCCGTACCTAGTTTGAGTTCGACCACTGCCCCAAGCCAACATGGAACTCCGTGAAACCCACTTTGAACAGACAGCCGTCTTTGTACGGCCCATTTTCGGGTTCCATGGTAGTCTGGGGAAGGCTCGAGGGCTCCTCATGTGCTGACCACATTACAACGACCTCATGCAACCTCAACTGCAATGGTTGTTTCTACAGAGCCATATTTCAGGCTTTGGAAATGAAAGCTACAATCCGGCCAGCATGTAGGCAGCGGGAAGCTGAGAAGCTCGCCACACCCCGGGCCCAATTTGTACAGGTGGCTGTGTGAGCAGAGCATCGATTTCCGCAAGAAAGTTGCAGTGCTTGCGGTTCAAGGTTTGTTCAGGGGTTGGGTGTGACCGGGGTCTAGGTTGAGGACAATATCCCTCCAAATAGCAAAGTCCTGATTACAGGCGCTTCCCAAAAGGATCCCAACCCATTTGAGAAGCCTCAGCTCCCAACACTTCTCTCCTCCATTGGTACCGATGCCGTGGTTCACATCCTCTGGACAACACCATAGGTGATTTGAAGGCTGGTAAGGATGCAAATCAAGCTTTGCCTCTGTACCTTTTAGGCCTCATTCAATGATCTACTGCACTTAAGGAGAATTGGGGGAGATGACCGTTATTGAGTTTGTAGGAAAGAACATATTGGGATTATTCTATAGGTCATTATCCACTCCAGCTAAAGCAGCAGTACTGTTGATATTAAAAATCCTGTATGACTTTAGTATACTGTAGTACCAGAATTCCTAGGGTTTAGGATGCTTAGGATCATGCAGGACCTTTAGTATCAACCGTAGGATCGGTGCCCAGGCTGCACATGTCGGACAAGCTCTACTCCACCGGGACACCGCCTGGGGTGGTCATGGGCCATCTCCTCTGAAGCCCCTGGAATTCCCGGTCTTGGGATTACGTAGATTGGTTACTACCCCGTACCCCATAACAGCAAGACAATGCCCAGAGGCACGACCACTTTAGGGCGTAAGGCCTGTGGGTTGGCAGGTTTATTCTCGGGCGATTAGCAGCAGTAGCCCAGTTTATTGTACACATGCTGGGCCCCTCCACGAGCTTGAAGCCTGCACCTTGAATTTCACCTCCTGAGGACGGAGCGACAAATTCTCGAACCCGCGCAGCCCAAAACGATGCAGGAAGCGCTAAACCCGAAGCATTGAAACGTGTCCCTGCACTTCAGCATGTCTAGTATAGGAATCATACAGAGATTGTGGGTCTTTCTTAAGCATTGTCATCTTTGTAGTGGATTACGCTTGCGTCA